GCGGGCGTCCTCCCCGCCATGCATTTCCCCACGGACATAACATCGGCCCAGAGCCCACCCCACGGCAGCCCAGACGTTGCCCCGAGGTCCAGCCCTGGAGATGGGGACGGCCAAACTCCGGCCGCCAGAAAAACCCAATGGGGCGGCAGCGACCACCCGCCCAGGCTCTCCATCCACCCCTCTTTCTTCAGACCGCCAGAGAACCTGCACAGCCAGCCACCAGACCTGACGGTGTGCTCGGCAGGTGGACAACTTCTAACCACCTTTCATGGGCAGGGAGGAGAGGAGCATCACATCTCCAGCAACAGCAGATCCCCCTGTGCTCCCCTGGGGGCCGCCTTGGGTGACACGGGGCTACGCTGGGTTGGGATGCAGAGCCCAGGGGAGACCCTGAGGTCGGTAACGAAGGTGCCATCACCGAACGGATGGCAGGTTGCTTCGCTGGCTGCAATGCCCGAGCTGTGAACCAACTCCCTTGGGACCTGTATGCAACCGTGTGATGCACTTGCTGCTTCAAGGGGACAAGAGGGCCTGGGGACGGTGACATCCTGGTGCCAGAGGCTCCTTTGCATGGTGGTAGCAAGCCAGGAGGACCAAGAGGCTCCTTTCTTACCTCTCCAAAGCTTGAGCCACCTCCAGGAGCCCATGGGCGGTTGTGTTGTTCCTGTCCCAAACCACGGTCCTGCAAAGAGAAGGACACGAGTGAGCCCTGCCCGCACCCACCCAGCCCTGAAGTGGGTGCCCACCCACCGGGTGCCAGGAAGAGCGAGCCCAGGGCTGACCCCAGGCACCAGAAAGCCTAGAAACGGGGTCAAAAATCAGAATCTCAATATTCAAAACCTAAACTTGGACTTTGCAAGGAGCTGTAAAATACGTGGGTGCCTGGAGGGAGCGAAGGGCAGGGAGGACACGGTCAGGCACCATCCTGCTGGCGGGGGCAGACGTCCCGCAGAGGAACAGCCCTGGCTGGGAGGTGTCCCCCGCAGACACCCTGCCTTGCCTTCGTGGGCACAATGGGGTCCAAAAAATGGCATTTTAGGAACTGGTGCCAGAGCGTGGGGTGAGGGCAGCGACTGCAAGGGTCCGGCTGCAGCATCCCAGGATGTGCAGGAGCCTGGCAAAGAGCTGGCAAGTGCCGGGGGGCAGGGATTTGAGCTGCTCTCTTGCCCTTCACGTGTCCCCTGCCAGCACTGCCAGATGACTGCCATGAGAGCAAGATACGGTCACAGCATCTGACCGTGCGCCAGGAATGGTCCAGGGCCACATCCGTGGTCACCAGGAGCCACGATAAGCCTCCTCTGATGGCATCAGCATCACAACCAGGACCACCCGGCACAAGGTGGGAAGGGCACCCGCAGGGCCACGTGGACCTGCTGCTACCTGAGCTTCGTGTTGATCTGCAGGGCCTTGGCTAGCATCTTGGCCCCCGTGTCCCCCATGGCGTTGCCGCTGATGTCCAGAGCGATGAGACTGGTGTTACTGCCCAGGGCACTCAGCAGGACGTTGGTTCCCAGCTTGAGGCGCGATTCGGCCACGGACAGGGACTGGAGAGGCTAGAAAGGGGACAAGGAGGGGAGAGGTGGCCAGGACACACGTCAGGATGTGTGTCACCCTTGTAGACACAGCCTCCATCCCCGTCTGCCAGCCGCTGGGCTGGCAGCTGCTGCGGGCACCTGGTGCTGGTTTTGGAGAGCCCGAGTCACGCTGAACCCCAAGAAAAGGAGGGCGACGGGTGCTTAGGCAACACCCTGGATTTAGCTCAGATGCCTGGCAGGCAGCGAGGAGGAAAGAGGTTTGGTTTTTTGGGTTTTTTTTTTTTTTTTGGAAAGCTGGG